GGGGAAAATGGGAGTGTTTTTTTTTTTTTTTTTTTTTTTTTAAGAGCTTAGCAATCATCAGGAAGTGGGCAAATTCAAACTTGTTTGATGGGAACTGATATTTGCTTTCTTTTTTGCGCTTCATCCCTTTAACTTTTCTGGACTTCGAAAGAAGAGCAGCATGACCGTCACGCTCTCTCGAACAACTTTGGGGTTTGACAGTTAGCGGCGGGCTTGCATGTGTTTGTCATTGCGCTACCAAGTAAATTGCCCGCAAATTGGAAAATAGAAATCACATTTCATCTCAGGCATGACAGCTGAGTGACAAAGAGTGCATTCATCAAACATGACGCTGAGACACTTCCTGTTGGCTCAAATCTGCAAAAACTGGTGAAGGAAGGTTAGATTTAGGGCAAATATGAACACACAATTTACACTATGCTGTACGTGTACAAAATAGAATGAAAGGCAAGTCTAGGATCTCATGGCTGTGCAGCTCCCGACCAGCACTGGCCTGCACTGTGACAACACTGGCTGCAATTCAAACATTCCTTCTGCTATTTGGTTTTTAGTTTGTCTGCTCCCAGCAAACACATACCCCCCCCCCCTCACACACACACACACATACACAAGCACACACACACTTCCCGTCATTCATCCACTGGGGATACACACTCACTGTTCACCCTGAGGCAATCTCAGGAAAGCCCATCTCAAATTAGTGAGAACGAACAGTGGAGTTTAATGGTCATAAGGTCACAAAATACAAAATTGGAACATTTTCTGAAAAAAAATGTGCCTCTAACTTTGCATAGAAAAAAAAAGATTAAACTGCTGTGCGATAAATGAGCACATTTGTAACTTTCCTATATACTACACACTATATTAGAGTGTGTGGGTCTAGTAGATCTTTTTAAATATTGGGATGTTTTTTTTCCCCTCCCAATACAAGCTCAGTTTCATTCTTTTACCTGAAACTGATAAATCTGAAATGCGTTTGTGTCAGTGCAATATGAACATAACTTCACAATCTACCAAGAGCTAATACAAATGATGTACAATATTTTTGAGGCGGTCTTTGAGGTCGTGAATTGCAGTTGTGTAGAAGTGCCTCACATCATACTTAGAGCTCTTTTTAAGATTGAGTATGTTCGCCTTTCAACTGTAAGTGTACGACGTTACATTGGACACGCTGCCACCGTAATGAATGATAAATACAGTATATACGTACCGGACATGTTGTGAAAAGGGAACTTTGGTGTTTGAGCTCCTCTTTTCATCGGGACCAAGTTGATGTCTGTCAGTGGAGATTGAAGACCTACAATTCCGTATTCGTAAATTGTCACCAACTATTTGTGATGGTGAATTACACACCACACAATGAATTGTTCAATTTCAAGTGGGGAAAAGTCTACAGCCTTCACACGGCTAAATAGAAGAAATAAAGAAACACCCATGTGCTGTGTCATTCTTACCATATTGACAGTTCCAAATCCTTTCAGGCACCTTTTGCTTTGATCCATTATAGGTGGGAATCAGGATGACATCTGGATGGAGGAAGAAGTTAGATTTTGTGAGCAGGGATGTTGATAAATGACAAAGGAAAAAAATGAAACATTTGCAGCACGGTGTTTAGCACGTCTGCCTGACAGTTTTGAGGTTCTGGCTTTGTTTTTTGGCTCAACTGTGCAGAGTTTGCATGGTCTCATCCAAAATGTAGGTTTCCTCTCATATTCCCAAAACGTGCATGTTGGGTTCACTTCAAATCGTGTTTACAGACTGTGACGTAGAGCCTCATAAAAATAACATTTGACATGGCCCACAAAGCTATTTTTAAAAAAAAAAAAAGGTGGATAACGATGCATAAAGATGATTCCGTTTCAGTAGCAAAAATGGTTAATGCTCCATGCCGAGGTTTGATTTCTCAGCATATCACAGTAGCAATTCTCAAATAGGCACTGCTTTAAAAATTGTCAGTTGACTATCGATTGATCTAGTTTTGGTTCCGAATGAAGTGATCTGCTCAGGTCAAGGACGGATCTATTCTCGTGGAACCACTCCAAAATCATGAAAAATCTATTTGCCTTAGCATCTTTAATAGAAAGCTCTGGCGTAGCAGTTTTACAATATGACAATACTGCATTGTAAAGGGTATGTCAAAAGCTACTGCACACTTTCTCATCTTTTGGAGAGATGTGAGGCCATCAGCATTTGAAATCTTAGCCTGTGCAGTTTTTGTAAGAACATCATTCCCTTGCCTATGGTTGTTCTTGTGTTCCTGACTGCAGTCCATGCAGTATGTTTTGGAGTTTTGATCGGTGA